CTCCCAAATAGCGATCTAACTTCATTTATATTTTATTTATTCCGTTTTTATTATTTGTATCTTGGGGCTTTTTGTTGTTATTGTTTGTTTTATGGTCTCCGCGCTGCTGCCCGGCGTGAGGGAAGGTCAGGAGCCTCGTGGGGGCGGGTAACTTTGGGGTAGAAAGGGCAGAAGTGGGAAATGGGCCAGAGGTGGCTGCGCTGAGCCGGGAGGTGCCTCCTCGCGGTCGATTCGGTCCAAATTACATGGGAATAAAATAAAAATAAAATGAAATAAAATAAAACAAACTCCTGGTTAAGTATTTTTTTCTCTCTCTGGGTTGAGCCTGCTGAGTTAGAAGTGTTTTTTATTCGTGGCAGCAGGTGCGGGGAAATAGTTCCTGCAGGAACTTGTATTGAAACACACTATTCCAAGCAAGGGCAGGAGCGCGTATGGAAGTGCGTCTGGCTGAATTTGATCAGGTGACTGTGGGGTGTTGGGCCTGTGGTAGCGGAGGACGGGGTGTTGTGGTCTAAAAGCCCCTTCCAGTTCCACCTTTCCAAAAGACAGTTTCGGTTGTGCCTGTTTAAGTGCCTGCTATTTAAAGCTTGTTAAGCTTCTAAAAACAGACAAAACCAGGTGGAGAGAGAATAGAGTTAAAATGGAGGGACTCTTCGATGGGAGTTTCTAACCGCACCACAAGGTTTTGCATATCATTTCAGGAATAAAGAGGGAATCATTTGGATTTTGGGGGAGTTGGTTTTGCTCTCGCAAACACTTTTGCCTGTTTCTTTTTTAATGTTTTATATCTTTTCTACTATTTTATGAAAGACTCCCTCCAGACTCAAAATGGATAGCTGATTGTGTTGGGTGTTTTATGCTCCTGTGTGTATAAGCAAACTGACATTGAAAATTTGAAAGCATTATTATTGTGGTAATAAGGAAAAATATGGCCAATGTAGCATGGTCGGATTATGAACATTAATTTAGTTATTGATCTGTGATATGGATCCTCAGACAGAAAGTCAGCAGTAGCTAAAATAGCATTATCATGCATCATAAATATCATAAATAGAACCGCAAAGCACATTTTTATCCCACTCTTGTTTGCTGTATATCCAGATGAGAATGTATTTGCACAAGGATAAGGAATTCTTATAGCTGCGTCCTACCCAGAATGACCCATTGCATGCATAATAAAAGCACACCTAAGGCTATCTTGTCAACTTAGCAAATCTGAAGAACAAATATGAGACCTGTGTGTGGCAGGTAACTATAAATAGAGTTTACTTGTTGTCCAGTATGTCAAACATCAGGGCTAATGGCTTGATATTTACTGACACGATAAAGACCTTGTTAAACCTTGTTTCTAAGGCTGTGGCTTTTTTTTTTCTTTTTTTTTTTTTGGTTAATCTCACAAGGTTGGTGAAAGATTGTGTAGGAATTTTTGTATCAACTGAAATCATTTTGATTTCTTACTGCAGGTCCTGTCCGGTTGTGGTGTCTACGATGGCACAGAAATTCATGAGGCCTCAGCGTAAGTTGCTTTATGTAACTGTCACCTCCAAAAATACCTGCTTTATTATTAGAATGCTGTGAATTCAATTCCTCTTCCTATGAGCTGTCAAAATTGCCCTGGAGGATTTGTGATAGTTTTTCTTCATCGGCCCATGAACCTTCAGAGCTTTCTCGTAGCACCACGAGAAACGAGGCTGCCTGTGGCTGTCCCTCTTCCTGTGTAAGGCCAGAACAGTAAGTTTGAGAGACTTCCACACGAACAGCAGTTCAGTTTTCTAGAAACAAGCTCAGGCAAGATAAGGAGAGTTATAATCCCCTTAAACTGTCATTCTTGGGCCTATATTGAATGAAAGATTTGTTAATATTCAAGCTGAGTTATTAGTTCAGTTCAATTCTTATTATGCATGTCTAAAAGATGTTTGACCTAGATCCAGGTTAAATATTCACCTAGGTGTGCTGATTGTGTGACTCTTCTCTAAGCTGGAGATCTTGCACTTAAAAAGAAATGTATTCATTGTTCCCTTTGTGAGAGCAGTGAAAAAAGTTGTTACTAGCTTGTCTGTCACTAGCTTGTCTGTTCCTACCTTCAGATTTACTTTTTTTTTTTTTTCTCTCTGAACTCTGTTGTTTTATAAAGGAGTGATTTTACTGCTAGGTCCCCAGTACGCTGTGGTAGCAGCTGGAGTGTTTTTTCCCCTCTTTCAAGATCTCTTTCAAGATCTGGTGGTGACTTTGCAAAGCCTCTTCTCCACTGTTCTCAGCACGTTTCCTCCCTGGTTTTGTAGCGTGCTGGTGCACCTTAGCCGTGGGGGAGCCGAGGTTCACATGTACGCTCCAGATGTGCCGCAGATGCACGTCGTTGATCACAGCAAAGGGCAGCCAGCTGAAGCCGAGTCAAGGTAAGAGCTGGGCTCAGCCTCTTCTGTCACTCCTGGCTCTCCCTTTCCTACAAGCTGGGCGTTCTTCAGACGTAGCACCCTCTACCTGAACTTGCAGCACTTGCTGGCTGGTTTTAACAGCTTTATGCCAGCTGGCGTTCTGTTGGAAAGAAAAGCCTAAAGGCATTATCTGGAGATTGTTATGTGCTCTCTTTTTTATGCTCTGTTGTGCACAAATGCTTCATTGGTCTCATTTTTAAATTTCTGTTTCTTCAAGGAATGTTTTAGTGGAATCTGCACGGATTGCTCGTGGCAAGATCACAAGCCTGGCTAAACTTACCACAACAGACCATGATGCTGTGATATTTCCTGGTGGATTTGGAGCTGCTAAAAACTTGTGAGTGCAAGTAAATAATACACTCCCTCCTTAAAACTTGCGCAATAAAAACAGCGAGCAGTAAATGGTTTTCTCTAGCATATTTAACCCTATCTAATGTACTAAGGAAATCTCCCTTCAAAGTGTTGGAATTAAGTGCTGTTCATTGTGGTTTCCTGTTCTATTTCCTATTGGCATTGAAATTTTCCCCAATAATGTTAGAGTTCTAGAGTTTAGAAAATCCATAAAAAGTCATCTCTCCCCTATACTACTGTGGTGTTTTTGGGGGTCCTGAGGAATGCAGAGGTAAAACTTCCTAAATTTTGGATGTTCCTATATTTTCCTTCTGTTTCTTCATGTCCAAAGTGTCTGGCTACCAAAAGGCCTGCCTTGCTTTAGTAACAGTAGAACAATGACTGGCTCAAAAAAACAAAATAAAAAATCCTATGTTAGTCAAGTGGGAATCTCGTGTTAACCTTCGGATTACCTTATTACTGATTGTCATTTTGTTGACTTTGAAAAGCTTTTTCTCTTTGTATGTTTTTGTTCCCAGATAACATTGCCGTTGTGCTTTTCAGTAGCCTTACCAAGCTGATTTGATAATGCTTATTTTAGGTGTTTATCTTAAGTAAGGAGCTTTCTGACAGACCAGAGCCTTAGCAAAAAGTCACTTTGGCATAGGTAGTGTTGGTCTCCTGCAGCATTTTTCAGTCACCCTGTTGAAGCTGCTGTGTTTGTGCTGACCTTTGAGAGCTAATCTCATGTCCGTCTGCACATTTATAGTGAGATACATATAAAGCTTCTTGTTGTGGCAGATCCACCTTTGCTGTCGATGGGAAGGACTGCAAGGTGAATAGAGAAGTTGAACGTGTCCTGAAAGACTTCCACAAAGCAGGCAAACCTATTGGGTATGTATGTTAGTTATAGAGGGGGTTTTAATTGATAGTGGAATCTGGAGACAAAGTATGTTATGTGGAAAGGTACCTCTGCTAGTGTTGGAACAAGAGAAGATATATTCTGTGTGTGTGTGTTGGTGTTTGTGAAAGAAGAAGCCAAGAACATGTTGAGCAGAAGTTGCCTTTTGGTGTCTTTCAGATTTGTAAGAGCAGATTTGTAAGAACTGAATTCTTTCAGTTCTGACTAAGTGTTGAAAGAGTGCTGTCATGGATCTCTGTGTAATTCCTTCTTTTTTGCAGTCTTTGCTGCATTTCACCAGTGCTGGCAGCAAAGGTTCTCACTGGTGCTGAAGTAACTGTGGGGCATGAAGAGGAGGAAGGTGGCAAGTGGCCTTATGCTGGAACTGCAGGAGCCATTAAAGAAATGGGAGGAAAGCACTGCGTCAAAGAAGTAACCATATCCTTTCCTATAAACTTCCACGATTTAGTACTGTGTCCACAGTAGCACTGCAGTAGTAAATACCTACAGGACCTGTGCTTTTCCCTTAGTGTCTAGTGGGAATGTGCAGTGTATGGAGCATGCTGTAGGCTGCATGGTGAGGCCACGCTACTTCCCTTACGCGGCTGCGTAGTTAGGAGCAGTGCTTGGTGGTTTCGGTAGGGCTGCCTTGGACACCGGGAAATGCTGGGTGAATTTGCACCTAAAACTGATACCTGTGATCAGAAAACCAGTATGCAGAGTATTTGCTTACTAGCAGTAAATTCCCCAAGTTTTCTTGTGTTTCTAAATGATGCTATTCCCACAGATTGCTCCTGCAGTCTTTTTATTTCTGGCAAAATAAATTTTAGTATTTCAGGTTGTTAGTTGCAGCTGTCTTTGTAGTTGGACAGTAATATATTTGGAGGTGCTTATTTAAGGGATAATAGAACTGTAAGGTTTTTGTCAGGGGCAGTTTATGTTGCACATATCGTCTGCACGTGATGCATAGACGGTGTTTTCCTTAACTCTCTCTTACGAAGCTCACGTGGATGCAAAGAACAAGGTGGTAACTACCCCAGCATTCATGTGTGAAACGGAATTGCATAATATCTTTGATGGCATTGGGGCCATGGTGAAGAATGTGCTGAAGTTAACTGGCAAGTAAAGCGGCTGTTCTTAAAAGAAAAGCGATAGACATGTTTAAATTTAGGGTATAGTATCAAAGAAAAAGAATGGACCAATGGAGACATTTTCACCTGCTTTTCCTGTTCACACTCTAATAAGCGCTGATGCAAAGCTGGTTGATCCCCAGCTGTGGGGATTTCCAAGACTTTTCCAAGAGAGGACCTGCAGAACAGCTCACTGATGGTGAGCGATGCAGAGCATTTCCTTGACCTTTTCAGATGGAGAGAGCTCTGTGGACGTGTCCAGAAGCTGTCCTCACACGGCAGCAGTGCCAAATCATTTCCGTGAGGGCAGAGAAGGACCAGAGGCCTTTCCAGAGCTGAAGGCAGACGCATTGTAGGGACAGAGCACACGCAGTGGCGGTGCATGTGTTGGGCTAAGGATGGAAAGGCAATATTGTGTGCTTCATGATTTAGGTATTTGGGCCCCAGTCTGTGAACTAAAAGTCACAGTTAACTGTGGTGTAGCCAAGGGAACAGACCTCTTCCACATCCTAACGTTGCCTCAGCTTTACTTAAAACATCCGTGTTCTGTTTTTCCATTTTAAAGAACCCCTTTGCAGAGTGGTGCCATTCTGAATAACATGAGCAGGATACACCTTATCTGTCACAAGAGCAGCACTTTGAAAAATCCATTGGCCCATTACAGCTAAGAAAAGGTCTTGAAAGAAAAAGATAATCCGCTGATGTGACGCACATATTTCTTAGGATCATGTCCCAGTTAAGGTAGTTGCATGTTTGGCAGTGGACAAGAAACAAATCTCAACTTATCCTCACTTTCTCACCTTAGGGTAATAAAGCTTTCTCCAAAGAAATACTGAATGTCTGGAAAAAATGATGTATAAATAAATTAATTCTTGCCTTTATCCCATCCTTGTTGCTTCATTTGTGTTTGATAGATGCCCCTGATAATTCATGCTGGTTGATACATTCTAACGTTTTCAGGACTCTCTCTTTTCACTTCATCTTTCTTTTTCTGATGCTTTTCAGTTCTCATCCTCTTCAAAGAATTTTTCCTTCATCAAATCCATCTCATCTTTCTTCCTTCTCCAAGCTGTTACCTTTCTATTCAGCAGGCAGCAGTATTTCTCAAATTAAAAATAATTAAATTGGTTCTCCTTGTGCATCTTTTTGAAAGATGGGCTAGTAAGCCAAATATCTTGCCCTGAGTTGCCTAAACCACCACAGTTTAAACCATATGCAGAGAAACAGGTTTTGAGGTGTCAAATGTGTTGCTCAGGTGTTCATTGGAAGGTTGTGGTATGAACTGGGAGAATTTGGGTTTCTTCTTGCCAGCCTATGCTTTCTTGGAACTTGGTTACTACATGAAATACAGATGTATTAAAAATAATATAGTTATTTTTTCATCACTCCTGCTTCATCACTCCTGCAAGCTCACCTGCTTCTGAGGTGGCTACTGAACTACTCTCTACTCATTATACAAAATACTATATTGAAGTTCATGCTACTTTACAGATGCTAAAGGGAGCCCATATTCTTAAGGACATTCTCATGTTTCAAAAATTAAATGTATCCGCCTCGGATTGGCCTGAAATACTGTCAATGCTGGTTACAGCTGGAGGCTCACTAGGGGGGTTGGAAACAGTTTAATGCATGTTCATGGAAGTGTTTTTGTTTCTGGAGCCTCTTAACAAATCATTTGCTTTTGTCACTAAAACTATATATATATATGTTTATCTGTTGGGAGTCAAGAGTGGACACTTATTTGAGAACTGCATAGAGATCCTGGCTAGCAAGCATCCTGGCCTGCGCAGATCACAAACTCGAGTGTGATTATAAAATCCTGCACGTAAAACAAATAATCGTGGTGGCAGACATGGAGCTTAAAGTGGACGCTGGACATACTCTAAAACAGTGAGTTTGTGTTTGGGTAATAAATAGCAAGGAACAAATAGAAGTAAAGCACTCTATGTAAGTAAGTGCAGATAAGGACTTTCTTTGATGAGATTTGTACTAAAAGGGATAGTTGTGGTATGAGTTTTACATGGCTAATATAGGCATGGGAGAGATCTCAATATCATAGCAAATATTCAGATCTTGTTTGAATCAAGCAGAAGAACTTCAGTATCATGTGCATAGAATATAATGACATTTTTAAATGCTTCTGTCTTCCTTACATCTGCAGGCCTTCTAAAAGAAACGTGGTAGCATCAGGAATTTCCACAAACAGAGATGGAATTGAAATCCCTGGAGAAGAGCAGCTATGTTACCAGTAACGTTATCTGCCTCAAGAGTGCTCTAAGCAGAGCTGAACTCACATGTCCCTTTCTGTCCCTTCCCCTCAGGGACTGAAAGTTCACATCTTCTCACTGGCTCCCTTCACCCCGGCAAGGCTGTAGGCAGTGTTAAAGTTTTACTCTTTTCTTGCTTAGATTAAGGTGTCCTGAGAAAAAGAGAAGATCTTTTTGCTACTGTCATGCCATGACCAATTTTTGCAAGTTGGCAGGAAGGTTCTCCAGATGTTGCCTCTTTTTACAGTGCTCTGAGATTCTTTTTTGAATCTGGATAGCCATATAAGGAAACTACTAACAGCCCAATGAGCCCCTTTCCAAGCTGATGCAATGTTGGGCATGATAATCCCTGTCTCAATGGACAGGGATTCCAGGTTGGAATATCCCACTGTCTTATGCCTACCATCAAGTAAACAAGTTGAAAAGCTCACCTGGCTTGGCAGGATAGCTAAATTACAGCTAAATAAGATGAGATACTTTCCTCTCGCATGGTAGTCTCAGTATTGATGACCATTTCAAGGTTAGTACTGTGAGTTTCAACTGAAGTGCCCAAGGAACCAGCTACCTGCTCAGTGCCTGACATTTTTCAAGGTGGTTTGTAAAAAAAATGAGCTACCCAAACAGCGTCCGTGCTGGGAGCTGCGTCTGGTGGGGACAGGACACTGCTGAGTAGCAGGAGAGCCAGACACAAAATACTAGTTTCAGCAATAATCACCTTTTAGAGCATTTTTCTACCTTTTTATTGCCATTGAGAGTTAATTTTTTTAAGGGAAAAAGAGAAACATGCACCAGAATTAACCTTTTTAAAAATGATTTTTATTTATTTTGTGCAAGCTGTTATAATTCCACAGTGATGTGCTGAACACAGATCTTCAAAACACAAGATTTTTTAAGGTTTTCTATTAATAGAAGATCATGGATCTTTGGTGACAGGTCTGAGACCATCTTCTTGGCTTTCAGATGATATAAA